ACTGATGGAGCAACACCTACTGATGGAGCAACACCAACTGATGGAGCAACACCTAGTGATGGAGACACACCTACTGATGGGGCAACACCTACTGATGGAGACACACCTACTGATGGAGCAACACCTACTGATGGATCAACACCTAGTGATGGAGCAACACCTACTGATGGAGCAGCATCTGTGTCCAGTACTGTTGAGACGACGACTAAACGTCMAAGTACGTTTATTTATATGAACATATTTCGTTAAGATTTTGCTCAATTTACTGATTTTTCATCGTCTTGATATTTAGTAGCCTTGCTAAGCGTTAGTCTATCAGGAATAGCCATTATTGAAGTATAGTACTTACCACGTTATACTATCTTGATCAATAGAATTAATACGCCTCAAAGATGGACTAAGGCAGAATGAAGGACGTGTTCAGGTCTACAGGCAAGGATATTGGCTACATATTTGCTTTGATGGATGGAACCTAAAGCATGCTTCACTTGTATGCAGTTACCTSGGACTACCTGCTCCAACTTATGCTGTTAAAGAAGAAGTCTTTATGGGATACGTTTCTCGTAAAAGAGTCAATATCGATTTTATCAAATGYTCGGACAATGATACAAGTCTTTTAGATTGTGAACTCAAAGTAGATGATTACTGGAATCATTGCTACAAGACAAAATACGCAAGCGTTGTTTGTGGAAAACTTCGAGGTATTTCGCTCGAAAACTAGCAAACTTAGAACTTGCTTTGTTTATCTGTATAAAACAGTAACCCGTCATTACGTCAACGGACTTTGAAACTGGTGAAAGTTTGCGAATTGGCAGGCACTTAAATGGTCGTATTAATGGCTTTGTCTTGGTCGGTGCCTTAACTGGCCTTAATGAAAGTTGTTAGGGCTTTTGTCCCACCTTTACACTGATATGAATATTATCACTCAGAGGAAGTACTTTGAAATTCATAAAATAATGTATASTTTAGGTGGGAAATTTCACGTTAAAAGGCCATATTTTAATCTCTTTGGCTTCCCACAATTCCAAATGAATATAACTTAATGTAAACTTTAAATGTAATATTTAGTTTACCTTGACAATGATGACAAGATGTCGGTTTCAAGCGTTAGTCTTTATTATTAATTCGATATCAAAAGTCAATCTTATACGAACATCACGGTATCATTAATAGTCTTTAATAATAACAACAAAACTGTCTTTTACCTTTTAGAAAAGCAGTATACTCTGACAGRCAACAGTGGCAAAATAAACAAGTACGCTAAAACAGATGAACTTTTGGGTGGTCGGTACACATGGCAGTTCAGACCATCTGATCCGTATTCACGGATTGTCATATGTGTGGASAGGTTTTTCATTCCGAAGGCTAGTAAAGGCCAGTTGTATAATGTTACTCTCAGCGGCGAAGGCAATGTTCTTGTTCTTGATAATAGTATCAAAAGTGGAACTTGCTATGAATTCACTCAAACACAAGTCCAACTCGATGCGGTACTTCCTCTTTCACTGAGGACACAAGCATTCAATGGATTTCAGCTGAGTTATTTCGCACTTAATCACACAAAAGGTCAGTACTAAAAAGTCTCCTTCATGGTTCCATGCGACATCTTGAAAGGTAGACGAGCCTTGGCGTGGATGCGAGACGACGGATGAACGTGCAATCAAAGATTCCTGTCAATAATATTTGTCGCACTTCATGCAAGGAACAGCAACAATTCAAGATGGCACAAGGAACCGTGAGGCAAACCAATTTTTTTTAGAAAAATAGGATGGACATAAAAAAAGTGAAATGTTTGAAATCTGGAAGATGCAGTCCTCGTATACTTTCCCCAACATCCATTGTCGTGTTTCCTTCAAAGAAAACACGAATTGATTCTATATAAGAGCATTGAACACGACGTTCAATGGTTTATCTCATGATTCAAAGCATTTCTTGTGTCCTTCCAATAGAAAACACGGAAATTATCTCCTAATGCGTACTAAGTGATCGAGTTCCAAGACATAGTTACAGAATGAACATTTACAAAAGGGTATAATATTGAAGCTTCTTCTTCTCATATTCTTTCAGGTTTATGCGRTGATAACTTTAAGCTGTCTATCACCAAYGATCCTGGAAAAATTAAGCTTAACTGGAATGCACCAAGCGACGCAATTAGCTCTAACTTCACGTATGTYGTTGTTGTTAAYAAAAATGGTCACAATCAACAACTATTTACSACMACCGCGACTTCATAYCTCTATGATTATGTGAGCCCAGACACAGACTACGATTTTGAAGTACACGCTGTACCTCTAGATAAAGACGAAACTGTTTCCTACTGCTTYGAGCGCGTCAAATCTAGAAAAGGTAAAAAGTGTACGTCGTTSGAAAATYTATRAAGGCTTTSTTGTAAATCAAAAGGAATTTGTTTTAAATCTGATTGATCGTTGATCTGTGGCAGATTCAGGATTTTCCGTTGCGAGGGGTTTGAAGGTCTCTCCTGGGCGAGCAGTGGGTACACACGATGCGATTTGTAACTTAGATGTAAGGACGGTGTACGTRCCCTTTGCACAGCATCTGAATTCACCATTAAATTTATTAATCAATTTAACAATGATATCAACAAATACGGCTGGAATGCGACAATGCTTGGTTCAATGTTGATCTTAAAAACTGCTCGGTGGATAGATAACGACGATATTGTATTGATATACCGTCTTTAAAGTGTTCAAATACTTTTTATCACAGAAACCTGGCGATTGCAAGGTGGRATATTAGAAAATGAAGGCATGGTGGAGGTCTATTACGAAAACGAGTGGGGYTCAATTTGTATAGGATCAGGCTGGTTTCTTAATTGGGACTATAACGCCGCAAAGGTCGCCTGCCGGTCAGTTGGGCTGCCTCCTCCCCCCATGGAAGTGGCTTTATCGAAATWTCCAGAATTCACAGAAACCGCCAAAGTGAGATGGATGAATAACGTGAAATGCGAAGGAAATGAGAGTAGTCTTGATCAATGCCAACACGATGGAATRAAGAAATTCAGATGTTACGGCTACGCGGCTAACGTAGTTTGTGGTGTGCCAAAGCGTAAGTATCATGCGCTGTTGGTCAACTTTTATAACGKACAACTAGCTTCCGGGGAAGTCGTGCTTATTTTAGGAATATCTTTGGAGTGAGAATGTTTTTATAAGTGTCGAATTTTTTTATAAGTGTCCTTAAAGAATCGGAAACAAACGCTTAATGGCCGAAGCGCYACATTTAATTTGTTTAAACCCTCATTGTCGTCTTTTTTCCACAGTCAAGGAGATTGTCATAAGCGATCGCAAAGGAGTTATTGCTAGTCCTGGATATCCACTTTACTTGACTCAAGCTCACTACGAATGGTCTTTCGAGACAGATATGCCTAATGCCAAAGTTGTTCTCTACTTTGAAGAAGTCACTATTCCAGGGAGACGAATACCGAAGTAAGCTAAATCAATCGATCAGCAATGCAAAAGGAATCCAGGCGAAATACGCAAAACTCAAAAATATCTAGGGAGAAATATTTTTTGGATGTTTCCCACTCTGAAGGGAAGTACAAATGATGTAGAAAATGTGTATAATTAGCATTTCATTGCCTTTTTCATTACCAATGATCAATTATCTCTTTTGCGTTACCATCGATTTTCGAGTAACCTTTTTAATTAGCTTTGTTATCTTGCAGATATAGCTCCATCAAGGTTTACGATAATAATACAGTTAATATGGATTTCAAAAAAGCAAGAGACAGTGTTGTGGTCGCGTCACCTAATGTTAAGATATCATACCTTACATACATGACATATATTTATGTTTATGTGTATCCGAGAAAGCGTATACGACCAGGAATGAAGATGCGCTATTGGGTTATTAATGGTAAGACAAATTTAGCAGTCAATCGCCTTCTTCGCATAGGTCTTAAAACCACAAGAAAGAAACAAAATCTGGAAACTCTCCCCCCCCTCCCCCCTCATGAAACCTCTGCACACGGCACTGTGTTCTTCTTCGACATGTTCTTTTCCCTTTTCATTTCCACTTGCAAATTAAACATTGTCTATTGTCTATTTATTTCAATTTAGGATTACTATACTATTGGACTATTGCAAATGCTTTGTTCTGATTGGCTACGTTACTCGTTGCTATTTCTGTTCTTCTTTTGTAAATCATCCTTTTTCATTTGGCATTACTATCGTTGTCAGATATATAGTTTTTAACGTTTTCAATAACTATTTAACAACTGGTCTATTTTTCCATATAGAATCATGTCCCAAAGACTGGAACGTTGAACTTAAGACAACGCCTGGTTTGGTCACGGCCGAGTGGCCTTCTCCTTCAAATACACAGACATACAAATATGCCATTACGCTCAACACCACTTCTTGGACGTCAACCACAGTTATAACGAAAAAAACTTCATACCAATTTAAAGATCTTGCTCCAAACGTTCATGTTACTGTCAGTGTGATAGCTATTCCAGAAGACAGTASCCAAGAACTGAAAATTTGCTCAAAGGACATCAAGGTCCACAATGGTGAGAAGTCAGTGTTTTTTATTATAGACCTAATTGGCTAACGCGTTGCTATGTACCAATTCAAATCCTGTGAGAAAAAGAACTTTTGTTTCTAAGAAATCAACTGTGAAATGAAAATACAACGAACAATGAAACTTACTCCCGGGTGGTTTGAATTGGACTGAAAACGCGTTAGCCGATTAAGTCTATTCTCCAGTTAAGGTTTTTTTAGTGTGTAGCTTTCCTGGCTGAGATCCCTTCAGGGTTAACACAGATTTGCTCCATGAACGCCTGCTTTGATTTAGCCTGCGTTCAGCGCGTTCGACGAACACAACGACAGTTTTGGTTCGGCTGAACGCAAGCTAGCTTTGTTTTCACTTGTACAAATTGCTAGTGTTAATGTTCTTGTTCAGGAACAACGCGTATCATTGACGGGTCAAATAATCAAGAAGGCATTGTTCTGGTATACCAGGCAACAGCACCCTCTTACCGTAACAAGAGATGGGGTTTCATCTGCGGAGATAAGTGGACCATAAAAGAAGCTGAAGTAGTGTGTAAATCGTTGGGTTTACCCGATGCAACTTTTTCATATACAAAGATAACCTGGAGCTCAGAATATAAAAGGCTTCTGACTAGTGTGAAGTGCACTGGAAATGAGGAATCTGTCAATGATTGCCAATATTTGGGTTGGGAAAGGGCGAGGTTTTGTTATGGACCTGTAGCAGCCGTCGTTTGTGGTGTACCTAATGGTAAGTTTCTCCTAAGCTCAATCCATCGTAAATATCTTTAGTCTATTCTGAGAGTAGTGTTTACTTCAAAATCATGTAAATACTATTCTGTCAAGTGATTTCAAGTGTCGCAGAAGATTTAAAGGCCCAGTTTGCACCATTATGCTTTGCGCGCCTCTGTTATTGTTATGATTTATGATTTACACCAAAATACTTCTAGTATCCAAATTAATATCACCATAAAACGAATTTCAGATGGTTTAAAACTCTTATATTAGTGTTTAAAGTGCTTAGAAAAGTGAGATGGTCGGAGATTCGGTAAACTGAAAATGGCCGCCTCCCGGCCTTCGCGGCCCCCAAGGCCAAAGCATAATGGTGCACACTGGGCCTTTAACCTCACTTGCGCCGTGCTGTCAATATTTATTAGTTCTGACATCAATGTACTGTGATCATTCACTAGTCGAAGAGATAAACGTCAYAGAGTCGTCCGGGATATTAATGAGTCCAGGATATCGGAGTGAAATGCTAATGGCGCATCGTGTCTGGACAATCCGACCTGCTCGACCTGAATCCAAAGTTGTGATGTACCTTCATTCTGGGAGTGTTGAAAGGAGCCTGGGGTAAGTTAATGATATCAGTAGGTTTGAAGTGGTTTATAAGGGGGAGGGGATCATTATACATTATGGCATTAATAGAAGTTTGACTAGACTTAGTCAAAGGGCTTCTTATATATTTTGTTTTAATTTATTTACGCAGGGACTCCCTCTTAACAATTCAAGATGGATCAGGCAATGTTGTCTATCAAGTGAAAAAYAGCGTGTATGGAAGTCGATTCTTCGAGATATCATCTCTTCCTGTTCGAGTGGAATACTATTCATCCTACACGTATCAATATCCTCATAATTTTAACAACGGAATTAAGCTGCGATATCTGGTTTTAAATGGTGAGATTTGAACCTTCATGCGATACAAATCACTTTAGGTAGCATCCTCAGAAATCCGGGTAATCTTCTGTCGTTCGTTCCTCACTGCCAGGAAAAAAATACGAGTATTAAGTCCCCCCCCCCCCCCCGCCTTTACCTAACCCTCCCCTTCCCTCCCCCACCAAACTTCACACAATACGGGCATTCTCTCATTCTCGGGAACCCAGGAGTAATCTTCTGTCGTTCGTTCCTCACTCCCAGGAAAGAATTACCCTGGGCACGAAGATTGTTAGACCTTGTTTTCGATGCGAAATCCAAAATGGCGGCTGGTAAATTAATCAACCAATCAGAATGTTCAAGTGAATCATTCGACCAATCAGAAATTACCGGCCGCACATTTTTCSTGGGAGTGAGAAACGAACGACAAAAAATYACCCCTGGGTCCCAAAGATGTTAAGGTAGCAAATATTAATAAAAATCATTTACCATTTATCTCCAGCSGAAAATAAATGCAGTAATAACTTCACAATCAAAGTTGGTAGCTTTTATGGTCGGTTGACTCCATCCGCAACCAAGATTAGTGAATATAGCACAGAAAGTAMCTATGTGTATGGACTTAGACGTACCGGTTCTAATGAGCCTGARACCATTCGACTTGATAACTACCATTTTGGTACCCCATTCAACTGGCTTATTCCCAATACAGTTTACACAGCAAGGGTGTTTGCATACCACCTCAAAGACGGCAGTTCCTATTACTGCGAGAAGGATGCCAACTCAGGGAAAGGTGGGTACAATAACGATAGCCCGGTTCATCTTATATTTTCTGCATATTCAAAGTTMCAAACCTTTTCAGGGGACTAAAATCAAATACAAAATACAATGGGACAATATATGGGTGGTGTTAAAGGGCTACTTGAACGAAAATTTCGAAACATTAGAAAAGACTTGGAAATCAAATAGACCTATCCATATGGGTCTAATGATCATGAAGCCACAGATTTCAAGAAGATATTGATACAAATCCTTAATAATTTGGGCAAAACATGTTGGAGTAGATAACTTGATTTACTCCATCCTTTTGTTCTTCCATCTTTTGATTCAAAATTTCTCTGATGTGGGATAACTTCAAAACAAATATTTTCCCGCAATTGTTTTTAATAGATATAAATGAGTCATATTTGTATTGCTTGAAGCTTTGAAATAAGGGCATTTTCATGTGTACAAGTAGCACTTTAACTTTTCTTTTTGCATCATTGTTTCCCTTCTTACAACCCTATTTTGCGGTCCCCTACCCCCTTGTATCAATGTTGGTGATTCGTACATGAATATGCTGTCTACCAGCAAACTTTTCATTCTAAAAATAACATTGTTTAGGGGGGAGGGGATGAAGAGAGACACTACAGTGAAGAAGCATCAAAAAATAACATTTTGTACAGTTTTTGGGAYAGTTGTAGTTTTGGTTGATTGGACAGTGATTAACTTGTTTATTTATATTAGATTGTTAAAAGGTCGTAACGATGGGCTAAAATCCAGTCGGTTTCTTTTGCACCGAATCACGTGATACCACTTATCAGGTTTTCTTTAACTAATATTCCAGCACCATTCTCTTTTAATCGGGAGTGGTAGCTGCAAGTGAAAACAGAATATGTAGATGATGATTTTGATGCAATCAATTGGAGTGCTCCAAAAACTTCATCCTTACTAAATCATTATGGCCTTGATTCCAATCATGCTTGCTCAAGAAATGATATGGTGCAAAAGTATCAAGTCAAATTKCTCCCACCATATCATCAAATTAAGACGTCGTATTTACATAGGATGTTTTTGATTTTAGCTTCGTTTCGTTTGACCGRAAGTAACTTCACTAACGAAGGCATCGTCCAGGTGAAATATAGCGGTTATAAGGGCTTTATATGCAGCGATGAATGGGATATAGACGACGCTACCGTCATGTGCCGAACGCTAGGCCAACCTCCAGCAACGGCTATTTTCTACAGAAATACACAAAGAGATATGGGAATGACACATTTAAGCCATGTCAACTGCTCTGGACATGAAAAAGATATCCATGACTGCGGCAACAGCGGATGGGGCTCGCGTCATAAAGGGAAGGCGTGTGCGCTTGCTGCAGGAGTTGTTTGTGGACCACCAAAGGGTAGGTGATGTAAAAAAAACTATATTTGCGTCTCCCAATTCACTATTYATTGAGAGCACCTCCTTATTTTCGATGTATTATTCCTACGGAAGCGCTAAGATTGATTGCAATTCGGGTTAAAAGTATCTTAAGTATAATTGTTTTAGATTAATTAGATTAAAGTCAATTACACATGTTGGCGTAAGGYCTTGTGTTCACATTGTCGTTAAAATCGTCCAAAACGCGTTTTGCCACTGCGTTTCCTCGAGGAATTTGAACAACAATGTAAAAACGAGTCTTTATTATGGACACAGACATAAAGTAAACGGTAACATTAAGACAACGTGAAAAGAACCTTACCCACATGACAAGTAAATTACAGCATTCTTTGTGAAAAGAAAACCCTGCCGAAATAGTTGTATTCCAATATCCCATCAAATATAAGCACAATATTATCTCATATTCGGAATATCAATAATCACTGTTTAYTGCTTTAGGTACTAAATATGATTTTCTTCTCTACAGAGTCAATCAAAAACATGACAGGTCTTACAGGGCAGATAACAAGTCCAGGTTTCCAAAATACCTTAGAGCAAGCAAATTATGAATGGAATTTTATCCCAAACATTGAAAATGCAGAAGTTCTCCTTTGTGTATTTAGCTTGGATCTGAATCGATGGCAATCTACAAGGTAAATCGAATTCTAATATTAAGAAGCTCATATCGACTTTGACTTTGAATTRAATTTTTCTGAGTTGCGGATGCAAATTCTACTTCATGGTATTATAGGTTTTCACATTCACTTTGTTCACTTTAACTCTTTCATTAATAATGTATTGATTATTACATCTACTCATCTTGCTGTGGTGAATTAGAAAGTTGAACTTTATCAAAAAATTGCAAAAGATACGAGGAGATATCTAAGACCAAACGGCCAGTCTTTTTTTTTCACTATGGCAACGTTTTTGTGTATTAGTTATCCAAGGCGAAAAAATGTATTTTCGACCCTGCCAGGACTCGAACCTGGAATCCCCTGATTCGTAGTCAGATGCCTTATCCATTGGGCCACAGGGCCAATCACAGTATAATTTGACTAACTGAATGCTACCATTATCATCATTATTATTGTTGACGTTATGTCTTCATCGACGGCTTCATCGCCAATATTATCTTTTTATCCCAATTCTTTGTCGTTTTTGGATTGACAGACATGCAACTCTGTAAAACACAAATCGATAGTCAAGACAAGAAAATGATATGGAGAATGATTTATACGAGCTCTTGTCTGTCATCAAAAAATCATGTTCAAAAATATTTGGTCCAACCTGCCAGGACTCTGGAATCTCGTGATTCCTAGTCAGATGCCTTATCCATTGGGCCACAGGGCCAATCACAGYATAWTTYGACTAACTGAATGCTACCATTATCATCATTATTATTGTTGACGTTATGTCTTCATCGACGGCTTCATCGCCAATATTATCTTTTTATCCCAATTCTTTGTCGTTTTTGGATTGACAGACATGCAACTCTGTAAAACACAAATTGATAGTCAAGACAAGAAAATGATATGGAGAATGATTTATACGAGTTCTTGTCTGTCATCAAAAAATCATGTTCAAAAATATTTGGTCCAACCTGCCAGGACTCTGGAATCTCGTGATTCCTAGTCAGATGCCTTATCCATTGGGACACATGGCTGGATATTGGAAGCAACAGTTGTATATGATCATCATTACTGCCTTCATCATCTTTATTTCCTGTTGTGACGGAAAATAAGATATATATTTCTGCTTTCTAAGGAATAAAACTCCGGCATTGCTTTGTCCTACAATTGGAGATGTATTTCCATGAACAGAAAGAGATCTGTTTAAATACTCTTTCCTCGCTGATAATACGTATTTTTTTCCACTTTAGCACCACATTAAGCGTTACAGATGGTAATGGAACTCAACTGTTCWACGCAAAGAACAAGAAATTCAGTGATCGATTCCATGTTCTCATCGAAAATACTCCAGGGAAAATGATTCTCAATTCACCATTCAGTTCATCMCATCCTGGCGAAACCAAAGGCTTTAAGATGAGATATTTTGCATATAATGGTATACACATTATTGTACAATGTAGTGTATATTTATTATTGTACAATGTAGTGTATATTTATTATTGTACAATGTAGTGTATATTTATTATTGTACAATGTAGTGTATATTTATTATTGTACAATGTATTGTATATAAATGTCAGAGATGACTGTTCTATTGACTTATTTTGAGCTAAATTTCATCGCCTGATTTAAGGGACTGCGCAATAATCAGGAGTGGAGTTGAGAATTGAGTAAAAGAGCATATAAAATAATTGATAACTATTCCGCATACCCTAATGGGAAAAAGGAGAAATTATTGATCTTGGCAGTCATGAAAAAAGCCATGAAAGCATTTGCCATGAAAGCTTTAGAAAGCCATGTCAAAAAGATTCTGTTCTTATTTCAGATAAATGCAAGGGAAGCAATTGGAAAACTCTACAGATAAACGTGTCTTCAGGGACAATTGACATAGCTTGGAAACCATCAAGATTATTAACCAAAGTGGCAGCTGTTTACTATCTCACGAAGGACGACATTCAATCTAAACCTTCAGGCTTCACCAGAGTTAAGCTCGACAATTTGGAACCAGACAGTCTCTATACGGTCCGCCTGTTTGAATTTTTACCTGGATCCTCAGATATGAATTATTGTACAAAGAAGATAAGAACTTCAAAAGGTAAACTTTGGTTTTGTATTTTATGTAAGATTCCATTGTACTGTATTATATACCATGTTAATCGAAAAACAGTTGCTGTTGTTACAAGGCGTTTTGTAG